AATGTCAGCCATATGTTACAGACCAGACCAGCCAAGCGAATCCTATACGAGCTCTGCGAGCAAGCAGAGCATGCCTTAGGTGCGTATGAGATCGACTTCACTGCCTTCACGGACGACCAGGCACAACATGACCCCGGTGAAGTCATTCTCACCAATGCCACCCTCAACGATGATGATGACTTCGCCGATCAGGCTGTTACTCATCATCAAGTCGCTCACACGCCAATCAAAGAGGAAGAAGTACTGTGGGACACTGTAGATAGCCTGGATCCAATGGATTTTTAAGTAGCAGCAGTCAACACCCACAAAGTAAAACAAATTCCTTTGAGACTGTCTGCGGAAAGAAGCGGTGTAAATTCAAAATCTACAACACCATCCGGAACCATAGTCCTGCACGAGCTAGGACGACCAACCACGCACCCAAGTGGGATGGAGCTTGTCTTGACACTGGTGCCCAGCGAACTGTCGTTGGCCTCGCTCAAGCCAAAGCCTACTGTCGATTCACTGGCACCAAATTCAAGCCCAGGCCGAGCCCGATACACTTCAGGTTCGGTAATGACTCCCAAGCTTCACTTGGAACCATGAACATATCCATTCCCATTGCTGATGGTTACTTAATTCGCGAACACGTTGACATTGTCAAGGCCAATGTCCCCTTTCTTATTGGACTTGACCTCTTGGACAAGTACCATATGTTCATTGATAGCGTCAACAACATGCTCCGATCGCCTAAGCTTGGTCTTGACATACCCCTTCGGCGCAAGCTGGGTCACATCTATCTGGAGTGGGATCACTCCTCCAAAACGCACTTCACCAAAGCTGAACTGATCAAGCTTCATCGCGGGTTTTCCCATCCCACATCAGAGAAACTCATGAATCTGCTTCGCTTGGCCCGCCCTTTTGAAGCTGATGAGGCCACAAAGCAGTTTCTCGAGTCTCTGCAAGCTTCTTGTGACACCTGTCAACGCCTTGGCCCCACTCCTGTGCGTTTTAAAGTATCGCTACCCAATGAACAGGACTTAAAGTTCGGTGACGAATTGTCCATTGACCTGATGTTTCTAGATGGAAAAGCAGTACTTCACGTCATCGACACAGCCACTAGATTCTCGTCAGCCATCTTTCTAGACGCTCATGGCGCCACTTATGGCCAAAGCGTTGAAGGTATTTGGCTAGCCTTCGTCGAAGCGTGGTGTACCTTGTATACTGGCCTTCCAAATAGACTTCGCGTTGACCAAGGATCCGCATTCACATCTGATCGATGGCGCGAGATAACTGCACAAGCTGGAATTCAACTTCGCATATCTGGTGTAAAAGCCCACTCGTCGTTAGGTATTGGAGAACGTCTTCACGGACCACTGCGAAGGATTTATAGAAAAGTACGAGCGGACTTCCCGGACGCCTCTCCGCTCATTCTTCTGAAAATTGCAGTCAAGGCAATGAACGACACAATCGGAGAGAACGGTCTAGTCCCTTCTCTATTGGTCTTCGGAATTGTTCCGCGCTTCCCAATCATAAGTACGGAAATACCTTCGCAGCGTGAAAGAATGCAAATTCTTTCAACAGCGCAGATGGAAATGAACGCAATCATCGCAGAACGACGTGTACTTGCTGCTCTGAATCGGAACATCCCTCCAGCCTCCGATCGTGTGTATAATCTTGGAGACGAGATTCTAGTCTTCTCTGAGCAAGAGAAGCAATGGATTGGTCCATTCCTTGTTTGCAATGTTCACGGACGAATGATAACTGTTCAGAACAGCGAAGGAACTTATCGACAAACGTTCAACGCTTATCAAATCAAGCCATACTACGCTTCCCCCGAATCTATTCTCCACCAGCAAACTGCTCCATTCCGTAGTGGCAAAGCCTCAAATCCACCCAATAACGTCCTTCTTACTGAAGTTATACATCCCAATGATCCTCGTGCACAACAATTTGATAATGCTAAACGAGAGGAAATAGAAGGCCTGATCGAACGAGGTACTTGGAAGGTAGTGCTTCGCGATGAAGTTCCAGACAACGCAAACATCTTAAATGGACGATTCGTCCTCGCCATAAAAGACTCTGGAACAAACAAGGAAGTATGGAAAGCCCGATACGTTGTACAAGGCCACAAGGACAAGATGAAACGGTCATTCGTTCACGACACCTCAACGGCACGACAGTTCAGCGTCAAACTACTCGTCGGTCTTGCTGCTCTTTTTGACTTTAGACTCTTCTCAACAGATGTCACACAGGCATATTTGCAGAGTACGGAAGAGCTCTCCCGTGATGTCTACGTTAAACCCTCATCTGAGTTCGACTTGGATTCTAATCAACTCTTGAAACTACTCAAGCCGTTGTATGGACTAGCCGATAGTGGTGACTACTGGGGTAGAACGTTAAAGCATCATCTAGAGAAGGAACTTGGGATGAAAGCCAGTGTAACCGATGCCGCCTTCTTCTTCAAACGAATTAGAGAGAAGCTTACTGGGCTATGTGCTACTTATGTTGATGACTGTCTACAAGCCGGCACTGAAGAGTTTTGTCAACAGGCCAAGTGTGTCGAAAGGAAATTTAAATGTCGACCGAGGGACTACGACAAGGTCCAATTTGCAGGCATTAAGATTGAATCCACACCTAACGGATTCCAAGTACATCAGAAGCACTATATCTCCAAGATTAAGAACATCAGTAAGGAAGCTTCTTTCAAAGACTTTCGCTCACTTCGTGCCCAACTCGCTTGGGCCACTCAGTCCCGTCCGGATATTACATGCTCTATTGCACAGGCAGCTCAGGTTACTGAAGAAATCTTCAACTCGGACCCCACGAAGTACTGTAAGGGACTTAATTCTGTGGTAAAACATCTCCTTACCAGTACAGATCAGGTCCTCAAATTCCCTAAATTGGACCACAAAAGTCTTCGGTTACAAGTCTATTCCGATGCATCATACGGAAACAACCTTGACGGATCTTCTCAGTTAGGATATATCATTTTCCTTGCTGATGCAAATGATAATTGCCAACCATTGTTCTGGTCGTCGCACAAATCCAAACGCGTTTCCAGATCTGTCCTAGGAAGCGAAACAATGGCCTTTGCTGACGCTTTCGATATGGCCTTCGCAATGAAAAACGATCTTCACACCATGACATCGCTCGATATTCCGATCGTTATGCTTACGGATAGTCTATCCCTGTTTGATGTTATCACTAAAGCAAAGATAACATCCGAAAGGCGACTAATGATCGATGTTAAAGTTGTCAAGGATGCATACCAGAGACAAGAACTGCACGCCATTGGCTTCATTCGCTCCGAACACAACCCCGCAGATTCTTTGACCAAGGTGAAGAAAAGTGATATACTGATCGAGATGATACAACAGTCAATTCTTACACATCCTATCGAACAGTGGATCAATCGCAATTCGTGAACACATGACATATGTCACGAAAAAGTTTGGGGAGTGTTAGACTTATTGACTAGACTACAGTAGATATCACACTTCTATGTTATCAATATCAATTCAGGGATTATGTAGTCTACATTTAGCTATCAATTATAGAGTCCCTTAAGGACGTGCCACCTACAATTCTACTTGTTTAGGGTGTAACCGTTTAGACATATTTCGTGGGTGGCGCAACCTCCCTTTTATGGTAGTGCGCCTACTTTTAGTGTAGAGTCAATAGGACTATAAAGCCAGGTCGAAGACGCTACTCGTCTTCGACCTCAGCACATTCGATCACCTGAACCATCAACCCGACAACCCCGTCCCCCCCGACCGTGCTCACCGTCCGTAGCGGTTCTGAGGCAATAGCCTGCCGCTCCTCCCCCCTCCCATTCAGGTAACCCTATTTACCACCCCTTTTCCCCTTTACTACAATCCCCTCCGGACCGCCCCCTTTCGGTCGGTCTCCCGACACAGTGCACCTTTCTTCACCCATGGAACAGAACCCAAGCGCACTGAAGGGGGACCGGACTTGAGGGTACTGAGCAAGGTTTTCGAAGCAAGGGTTTACCTCGACTCTTGGAATATGAGAACGAAAATACAGCATTTCTTTGGGCATACACGTGTACCACACCGCCTCGTTCTGATCCGATGGACGTAGAATACACTGTACTGTCTGCATCTCTTGCCTTTCGTCTGTCAACTGCAATCTAGACAAGTAAGTTAATTTTAATTGGGGATACTGTATAGAAATGCGTTACTGTAAGCAACCCGACTTAAACCGTTTCATTGGACGATTTCGACAATGATACGCCGGAGGCAACTGGCCAGTACAGTAATTTACCCTTGTACTGTACAGGCCAGGGAAGATGAAGAGAAGTCCTACGGTAAGTTACAAACAGTACATAGTAGCAAGAAGAGGCGATTGGTTGAAGGTTGTGGTCCTGGGCTGGGGCTCACCGAGCGGCAATGCAGGGGCGGAATTGGTGCAACTTGTAGCCAAAGCTCCCAACAAGCGACCCTGAAAATATTACGTTTTCGTCGTTCGTGAGGAGTACCAAGGGTACACAGTACACATCATGAACACGCAAGAGGCAACCAATAATGAAATGACCCATTTGCGGATTCATCCGCCCCGACCGGAATACACCAACTCTCTTCTCACAGTGCACACATATTCAATCCACTGCGCCTAACTTCACCCCTCGCCCATCCACTTTCGACCCACTGTTGCTACACTAACTTCCCCCTCCCCCGCGGCCGCGCCAAGCCCCCACCCGACACGAACCGAAACACCCAATTCTCAAACGCCTTCGCCCCTCCCCATCCCACACTTCCCCTTCCCCCCCCCCACCCCCCCCCCACCCGGAAAGGATCCGCCCCCAACGAAAAAAC